TGGAGTAAAGAACACTAGTTTGTATTTTTAAAGTCCAATGAAGGTAGAAGGAAGGAAATAAAGATCAGAACAGAAATACATAAAACAGAATTTTAAAAAAATTACAAAAATTCAATGAAACCAAGAACTGATTCTTTGATAAAGTGGTTGAGCATAGAACTATGAACCAGAGGTCACGAGTTCGATTCCCAGTCAGGGCACATGCCAGAGTTGTGGGCTCAATCTCCAGTGTGGGGCATGCACAAGGCAGCCAATCAATGATTCTCTCTCATTATTGATGTTTCTATCTCTTCCTCCCTCTCCTTTCCTCTCTGAAATCAATAAAAAATATTTTAAAAAATATTCTAGATGACATATGCCACAATCATGGCTGCATTGCCAGCTCCCTGTCCCTCAACTTCCCTGCCCAGCAGTTAGGTGTTCTGATTACCTTCCCTGGCAGACGATTGCTAGGAAACGGAATGCTACTCAACAGCTAGAACCAGGAGAGCTAACTCAGAGATAACAGCTTACATCTACTGATCTTTTCTGCCTTTTCCCTTACTCTCCTCCTCCTAGCACCAGAAAATTGCTAACATTTCACCCCAGCTACCAGAATCTTTTTAATTTAATTACCATCTCCGCCAAACCTGCCTTATTGGATGGTGACTCAGGGTAATTAATTCATTAGCATCTGCTATACCAACTAGATGCTAACTTATTGCTTACCTGGCTTGGAAACCTGGCTATTGGAACTTCTTATTCTTGTGACAACATTGATTCCTGACACTTTTTGGCTGGGTTATTCATTGAATAGGGGACTTATTTGAAAAGGGGACATCTTAACCAATGGCCTCCTGCACTAAAATAGACTAACAAAAACAACAATAAAGCTTTCCTTAGTTCTTGGATGAGGTTAGTAGACAACACAAGTGATATAAATCAGTTAAACTATTTTAATTTGCATTCATCACCCCTTATAGAATATAGCAGAGCATTTTTGATGTATATGCAAAGTATACTTGTGTTCAGGGGGCCATTCTCTGTGTGTGCAGGTGCATGTGTAGGCATATATGGAGAGATAGTAAGCAGTTTGCATCCTTATGTGGGGTTGTAGTATATATATA